CCTATTCGATTCACTAGTTCATGTTTTGTGAAGTTAGGTTTTTGGATCTGGTTAGGCTTTAGTTTAATGTTTTTCTAGTTATATTTCTATTATTGTGTATCCTTGGATTTCCGTTTTGCTTCAGCCATGTTTTGTTCTCTCCTATCTGACAATTATCCTATTCGATTCACCTGCACTTAGCTAATCTGTCTCCTTGCTTCACCTGGTTCACGCTCCATAAATACACATCTGTTCTGTTACTCATCGCGGAAACATTTCGGATGGTGCCTCCCTGTTACGGATCATGCTTTGCCTGTCATGCCTGCCCGTTTATTGTTTTGTTCCTGCCTCCTCTTTTGAGTGAGTTTTTGTTTTTTCTAAGATTAAATCATTTAATTTACCATGCTGCCTGCTCGTCTGCATTCTGGGGTCCTCCGATACACCGCACCTGACAGTAAGGGAGCCGGGAGGAATATGGAAGGGAGATGGTGGAGGTGGGGCAGAGGAGGGTCGAAGCTCAGTTGAAGAGCGGGGAATCCATGACTGGGGGTTCTTAAAAGCGAACCCTCAGAGGATGATTGATTGAAGACACTTGTGGATCTGACACTGATTGGATGGAGGAGAGACACACGGTGGAGTCATAGAATGACCGGGGGGTGGAGTTGAGTCTTTCAGTTTGAATTTTCGTCAAAACTCCTTGTTCTTGAATCCACACAAATTGTAGATAAAATAGAGACAACAAATTGTAGGCTCAAATATATGCATACCAAAATAATGTTATGATTTGGGTTTGTTTGGTTTTTTGATTTCAGGTTTTTTCTTTATGTTTTTCACAGTTAAAGTTTTGAATCGTTCTTCTGTTTATTATTATTATTATTATTGTTATTATTGTTAGATTTTTGAATTGTGTTTCTGTTCCTCCGGTCATGCTTTAGTTTTGTCATCTTGTTCCTGTTTTGTCAAGTTTGGTTTTCGGATCTGGTTATGCTTTTGTTTCATGTTTTTCTAGTTTCTGTTAGTTTGTGTTCAAGAGTCTCTGTTTTGCTCCAGCCACGTTTTGTTCTTCT